AGATGGGTGACTCTTGTGTTGCACGCTTGGGTTGTGGTTATTGGTAGCATGTGGGTTTGAACAAGGGACGTGTTCAGTTTGGGGAGACAGAGGAGGCTGGGAGGGGAGGGAGAAGGTGGTGGTGGTGGTGGGGGGGAGTTAATGGAAAAGTACAGTAAAGCACCTTCTGAGGTGAGAATAAGTAGTGAAGGTCTATTAGCAGTTGATGACAATTTACATGTATTACTTATGTAAAGATCAGCTCGCAGCAGGTAGAGGAGCGTGCTCCCATGTGAGCTGTCAAAGGCTCCGTCTGCCTCCTGAGTGGGAGGGAGCATGGGAATCGCTGAGTTTTCAATGTGCAAAGGAGTGAACAGTCTGAAGAACAGCAAAGTGCTTCAGATGGAAAGAGAGGAGATTGGCAGGGGCTGAAGGTAACACAAATCTGGGAACTATTGGTAAAAAGTCCAGGCAGTGAGCAGCCACAGGGGTGATGGGGTTTTCTGCTGGGTTTGAAGACTTGGAGGTGTGATGAGTTGTGCTGGGAGTCTGCAGGGGATGTCCCTGAATTAGGAGCCCAGCATGGCCTCACATCATTCCCATCTATGATGCTGGAGAGAACAGCTATGGGAAAACATCAGCTTCTGCATCCTGGTCAGCAAAGTGCGTCCTGAACTCTGGAAAAGCCCCCTTCTCGGTTATGCTCTCGTTTTGTAAAATGACAGCAGAAAGTGACAGTCAGTCTGAGGGGTCTGGCCTGCTAAAGAGGCTGGAAGCAGTGGGTGACTGGATCAGGCCCTGTGTTAGCTTCCTCCACCCCAGGGGAATCCACCATGGACTCCTCGGTGCAGAAGATGCCTGAGCTGGAGGTAGCCCGGGTGCTGCTGGAGGCAAGCTGCCTGGTGCGTAGGAGTGAAAGTGTCTGTGCTGTTCTTGCAGGAAAAAATAAACTCTGGACTGATGGGAGGTGCTGATGAATGCGTTCCCCAAAGTTTTAAAAGCCAGGAGTTGGGTTTGCTCAGGAGGAAAGTGGCTTGTCCCGAGCGAGATGCAGAGTCTCAGAGCTCTATGGGTGATGGAGGTGCTGCCTGGCTGAGAGCTCAGATATTCTTTCGCCATTCCAGCATCCCTTTGGGTAAGACCCTTCTCTCTTTGCTGACACGGATGAGAACATCCCTAGACCGACATGAACCTTGCAGAAACCCAGGAGCACAGCTTTATGGAGTGCTTGGAGAGGCTGAGGTGGATACAGTGCCCTTGCTCAAGCAGACGTGGTGCCTTGGGCCCCGTGGCGTGGTTGAACCCAGCACACTGCATAGGTGGGTGCCCCCAGCATTGTCTGACTTACAAACTGATGAATTCTGGTTCATGTAACATGACTGCTCTGCTGCCCTCTTGCCAGGAAGAAGGTACAGGACAAACAAGAGAAGCTGTTAACCTTGCCCCATGCCCCAGCAGTGCAGTGAGCATGCCAGCCAATGCCCAAGATGGAAGCAAACTTGTTTGACCATATTTACCTGGAGGGAGTGGGAAGATGGAGAGTGGAAAATCCCCACATACGAGGCCAAAGGGAGAAATATTTCAGAATAGGGGTTAAGGAAGAGGAAGCAGAAGCTTTGGGGGCAAAAGGGACTTTTCCCCCCACCCCAACTAAGCCATGATCAAAGGAAAGGTTCCTGGTGAAGGGAGCAGGGTCTGTGTTACTGTCAGTTCAAGGATACCGTTTCTCGAGAGGGGTTCAGGGGGAGGAAGCAGTGACATGCTGATGAATAACTTCCTTTTTTCCCCCCTGGATCTTTGCATCTCCTCTGTTGCTGAAATCCTGCGCAGAATCTGTCTTTAGTTTGAACTGTTGCATGTGTCCAGTAACATGGGAACCGCTGTCTAGAGGGTGAAGCCTCTTGAAGACTCAGTGGGTGCCTTGGGAGAGTAGGTCTAGATGATTTGGTGGCAGGGTTTGAGAAGTGCGTGCTGCCTAAGGGATGTGCTCTACCAAGGTGCTCCAGAAGATGCTGGAGATGAAGTGGAGCAGGAGCACAGCGTGGTGCAGAGTCTGTGGCTCAGCCTGGGGAGTGTCCAGGAGAGGGAGCTGGATCCTGGGAGCAAAGCATGATGTAAGTCTGTGGCTCAGCCTGGGGAGTGTCCAGGAGAGGGAGCTGGATCCAGGATGGAACAGCACGTCTGGGAAACGCTGCACACGTGGGAGCAATAAATGTGTGAGCAATAAACGGCGCTGGCTGGACGTGGGCCCCGATGGCTTGGGAGGGTGATGGATCAAAACATAAGGAATGGTCCGGATTTCTTCTGGGTTAGATGAGCTCTTCATAAATTAGGGCTGTTGCTGATGGGATTTAGTTGTGAAATGGTAATGAGTGAAATATCAGCAGCGTCTTGTGAGAAATAGACGTTCTTGGGAGAAAACCACTTTGGAGCCCAAAACTGGGCAATCTTTAGATGTGCAGTGCTTGCCAACCTATAATGCAGTCTCTGCTGCTTTCAGACTTAAAAAGGCTGTACAGTATTTTGTACATACAATGTGTACTTTTCTGCAATTGCTATAGTTTGTTTTTCCTAATTTACCCTTTCCTTGTTTATCTTGCATACTGTGCAGGGGTCTAATTTAGATTTTTTTTTTTTAGGAAAAAAACTGCTTAGCAGTTATGGGTTGGGGCAGCAATTTCTTTAGCATTTAGAGGTGAATTTGATTAGCACCTTTGGAAAACTGTGCAGCAAATTGCAGTGCTAATCAAGGAAATCAAGCCATGGAGTTTTAAGGCAGACTTGGTTATTTTTTATTTTTTTTCTTAAACCAAAAATGAGGATATTAAGTTGTCTGAGCCTCAGAAGCATTATATTTCTGCTTGTTTCATGTGTCAGGCTTTCTGATTCCACAGTTGTGCTGGACAGAGTGTTGGTAGAAAAACATGAATACTCCAAAATATAAAACACTTAATTTGCGGTCCAAAAGCTGATTCTTTAGTGTTGTGATCAGTTTTTTCCCTCCCTCCCTGTAACTGAGCAAAATATTCTGCATGTCTTTTATTAGTTTGGAAAATCCTGCACTGTGTATGAGAGATGGGCAGGAAGAGATACAACCAATTAAAGCCCCAACTTTATTGTGTTAGCGCTGTGATTCAGGATCTGTTGAAATCAATGGGAACCCTCCCAGTGACCTCAGATATGCGTTGGATTGAGTTTTACTGGTTTTCTCAAACGAGAACCAAATACACGCCGGGTGCAAAGAGATGGCGTAAGTGTTAAGTGGATTAACTGGAGACCTTTGTTTGTGTCTGGGGGGAATGGGACATTTATTTCTATTCCCTGGGGCTGCAGATTTTCGGTTGCTGGTCAGACTTCAAAGAAATGGGAATCCGGGCCTGAACTCGGGATATAGTTTCACATAGACTTTCTACCAGTGTTCCCCAATGAGAGACATCAACCAGATGAACACCAGAATTCTTGTTTGCAGAATGGCAGTATTCAGATAAGGAAGGAAACAGATTTGATCATTAACTAAGGAGTATTTGGGGGGAAACAAATTGGCCTTTTCCAAGACCTCTTGTGTTGCTACATGTGACGTGGCTGGTGTTTGGATAATGTTTGAAAGATGGGTAAGTTAGCTGCTGGGAGCAAAATGCATGGAGCCTAATCAGGAAATGTTGGCCTTCATCTTTTTTTTTTTTTTTTTTCTGAGAAATGGAGATTACTGCAGTTACGAACTGCAAATTGGTAACTGGAGGAGATTCCTAAAATATGAGATAATCCCTAGAAACTGACCAACTTTCTCTGTAGAACATCAAATTCTAGGTCTATAATCTGTAATTAAATTGCTTATGTGCTGTTAAAAAAAGCATCTGGCTGTTCTAAGATTGTCTGGTGCAAGGGCATAGACACTATAAATGAGAGAGCTGTAGTGACATGTAAAAAGTACCAATTTAGAGGACAGGAAAATATTAAGATTTTATATCTCCAGCCTACCAGGATGTGAGAGGATCCAGAAGGTCAACCCATAGCAAAACTACTGTATTCTGCAATTGCAACGTATAACATTAACCATTACGCTGCCAGAAGAATTGAGGTGTCCTTTGGATGCCTCTTGAATGGTGTTTATGAGTTTAAGCTGTCTCATTAAGAATCTTTTGAAACATTAAGTGTTTTCAATATAAGGAGATAATCCAATACGTAATAGATGCACAGATAACGTTATGTAGAAATGGAAATGTGTTGTCCTCTAAAGTGAAAGTGTAACCTTGCAGGTACAATCTGCTCTCAGTATGTGGTGGGTTATTTGTACTGGGAACAGCAGACACTGTAAATCACCATCAACAACAAATCCCGTGCTGGAGCTGTTGTCTATTTACACTGCAAAATATTTTGTGAAACTGAAATGGGAGGGGTCAGAAAGTACAACTGTGTCTTTGCTGCTGCAAAGATAAGCACAGATACTCCCCAGGATGTGTGCATGAACTGAGGATTTCTCTGTGTCTCTTTTTCAGATGCTTGTAGAAAGGAAATTCTGTCTGAAAGTCTTGAAATTAATGCATTACTTTCACTCATACTCTGCAGCGCAATTAAGCTGTTTTCCTCATCTGCATTAAGAGATGAATAGTGTATGTGAGTAACCTGGGGTCACGCAGAGTCTAACAGAGCTGGGCTGAGCCTCCTGGTTCTGCATTGGGTCAGGCCGCTCAGTTACAGAGAGCTTTTCCCAGAAGTGCATTGTTGAGTTTGCCTGAAGCAAGTGGCATGTCCCTTACAGCTGTTGAGCAGAAAATTATCTCAGAACAGACCCTGTGCCATTTTCTGGTGTGAAGGCAGAAACAGTATTTATAGAATTCCTCTCCCTTCTGAATTGTGGCTAATAGCAATGACTGTGTTGTATTTTAATGGAGATGAGGATATGTGAATAAATTCCTTCCTGAGGCGTGAAAATACTTCTGTAACTCTGGACTCAAAACACGTACTTCAGCCTGGACTATTTCTAATACTGACTTTTATTCCCTCTCCTTGTTTTCCTCTAGTTGTGGCCTTCCTGGTGGCATATCATCAAAACAAGCAGCTAATAGGAGAGAAGGGGCTGCTCCCTTGTAAACTGTACCTGCAGAATGTCAAAAAGTATTTCAAAGGGAAGATAAACCTGGATGCTCTGAGCTATGCGCCAACAATCATCTGGTTTCTGGACTGGTCAGACATGGACAGCACCTTGGACTACCTCTCCCTGCTTGGCCTGGCAACTTCAGCCTTTGTATTGATAACTGGATGTGCAAACATGGTCCTCATGTTTCTCCTGTGGGTTCTCTACCTCTCGTTGGTCAATGTTGGACAGATCTGGTACGTTAACAATCTCTCTGCTTTGTTGTTTGTTTTTTTTTTTCTATAATCTCTTGCTGTTCATTGTACATACTGACTTTCTGTTACAATTTGAGGTGGGTAATCTGGTGAGAGTGACACAGGAACGTGAGATAAGGAAAGCATTTGGCAGAAGTGAGTTATGGGCACGCTCCTGCTCTCTCTTTTACCTGGGATATCTGCCCTGATTTCTGTTGTCCCCTGAGAAAGGCAAATTGGCTGCATAACAAGCCATGTTACATGTTGTCCCTGCTGTGGAGCACTTTCCCTTATGACTGTTGCAAGGGAATTCCCCAAGTAATTCCCTTGGAGATAGTTTCTCAATTTTCAATTATATCCAAAAAGACAGCTGGGAGGCTCAAGATAAGTATATGAAGCCTGTGGGGAAAAAGTAAAGGAGAAATAGTGACTGTCTGCATATTGCCTTGCTGCCAGGAAAGGCTGTGGGGCAATAGGAGAGGCTTTAGGTGGGTCTCACACTTGTTTAGGCCCCAAATACATTGGTTAAAAGAAAATGGGCCCTTAGAAACCCAAATTTGATTAGTTTACCTCTTCACGTGCCTCTCTGCCTGTAGCAGCAGTGATGTGGTAACTTTGAGGGAGGTAAAAGGCTATGTCATGGAAAGGTGTTCAAGGACTGGACATGATACAGCTGTGTCACTGGGATGTCCTTCCCAAAACTTCTGGCTCTACAATGCATGATGGGTCACCTTCTCTATAAATGGGTTCAGTGAATTTAATTTTAAAGATTTGCATATGCTTGGGCAGCCCTGCGCCTTGTCCTGTCCCATTCATTCCTATCCTACTCCGGATGGTATGTAAGTGGGTGAAGGATAACAGCTTCAGTTTTCTGAAAAGCTCTATTCTCTGAGGTCTTAACTCAGCGTGAACTTCAGACTGTGAAAGAAAGCCACAAAATTTGAAAAATAACTCGGTGGATAGTTTTCCGTTGCCCATTTCCAAGTTATTCCAAAATCGCTTGTCTATTTTTCTAGATGTTTTATATTACGGGCCAAGAATTCAAGCATCTTCCTGCTCTCATTTCCAGAGATCCAGAAGCTTGTGCCATTGTAGCAGCAAAATCTGGATGTGTTCCTTGACTTCTTTCTGTTTGCCTTTCTGTTGGGGGGGCAGGGGGAGAACCCCAAACGTCCTCCCCCTCAAGCTGCAAAGGTTTTCTAGCTGAAAGCTGGACCTGCAGTGACTCTCCAGGCTGAAGGTTTGATCTGGCTTGCTCCTGAAGGAGTGGGCTAATTATGGCATTAGCATGTCAGGCTTGCTTTGTTAGTGCCTGCAGTGCGCTCTGAAGTGCTCAGTACTGGTGCTGTGGCTGTAGTGATGCTACAGCATCAATATAGTTTTGATTTTAAAAAATAGCTAGCTTGAATGTATTCTCCATGTCTTGTTGGGCAGTTGTGTTCTGTGCTGGTCCTCTGCTCCCAGTTGCCTTTCCTGGTTCCGGCAGACTGAAGGCAGAGGTGTGATGTCTTCTCTGCCGGTGCTGCAGGGGTGACAGTCCTGAAGAACTCAGGTTTTTGCCAAAAGAAGCCCAGTTGTGCCTGTTGAATGCTTGTAATCTCTCAACTCTTTAAGGGAGAGGTGAAGGGCAGGGGGTAGAGAGGGGAGTCTTTTTCCACAGCTGCATCAAACCACCACCACTGTCCAGCAGACCATGTCCAAAATGGGGTGTTAGAAGCTCATGGCCAAGCTTTAGGTCTCTACAGGTCTGAAGACAATGAGCTGGCCAGCAGGAATGCAAGCGGAGCCCAGAGTTTGCCTTTTGTGGATGCTGTGGTTGAAAGGAATTGACTCTTGATATCTGAGATAAGGCTGTGGTTTTTTTCCTCCTTTGCTTCTTCAGATTTGGAGCTTAAAAGTTGCTCTGGCACAGGCAGGTGACTCCTGGTCTACAGCGGTAACACACCAGGGGTTCTTCTGGAGAAGGGGTGAGAGAGACAAGTTGGGGGGGCGATAGGTAGTGTAGCCTCAACTTCATCTCTTCTTAATTGTGGTATCAAATATATTAAACAGGAAATTAGGTGGTTCTTGTAAAGGGGTGAGGGAAAAGAATCAAAGCAACCCAGCAGTACAGTTCATTCAGCTGTGGTTACATTTTTCATTAGATCCTCTGAAATGGGTCACTGGGTGGTCAAAAACATATTATTATTGTGCATACAGTGTGACATTCAATTCCTGGAGAAGGGAATGCTGGGTGGCTAGGTAGTTACAGTGCAAGTAAACATGAAGAAAGAGCAAAGGAGGGATTAACTAATTTCTCACCATCCCTCAGGGAACTGTGGTGGCCCAAGGGATGAGTTTAGAGTATCTGAAATCTCATGAATTCTTCTGCTGATTGTGAGTGGGTGGATGCATTGGCCTTAAAACTAAGGCTGGCTTTAAAACTCACTTTGCACACTATTTGTAGGTGGGCTTAGGTGGTCCGTTAACGTTGTCTTACTCTCAAATTTGGGCGGATTGAGAGGTTTTGATGAGTTCTGATTGTTCTCCAAGGTATCTGTTGAAGACTACGGTGACTCCTTATAAAGGGGGAAAGGACAACATTGGCAGGCATTCCTCATCAGAGTTACAAGATAATTCAGCAAAGAGGACTGAAATGAGGAAGAAATTCCTCCTGTGGCCACATTATTTTGTAGTTATTGTACAGTATTTCCTAATGTTGCTCTTCAGCTGGCAGACGTGGACTCCTGCGAGCCAGCACTGCTGGGCTGGGCATGGGCCTGTGGGCTGACCCCATCCAGAAAAATCCTTTGCAGTAGTTGCCTGGGAAGCCAGTTCAAGGAAGAGACGTGATGATAAGGAGGAATAGAGTTCTCTTCTTCAGGGCCAGTGAGGAACAATTTATTCCTTTTATCGCCTTTTCTTTTTCTATTTTAATTTTAAATGTTTCTGTTTGTTTTGGGCTGGAGTCTCCAGATACCGGGCGCTGCTGAAGGAGCGAGTCTTTCAACTGCTGTCCAGCTGGCTTGGGCTCAGAGTCAGAGGAAGCTTTAGAAGAGCAAACTGTCTCCTTTGAAGGGCAGGACGTGTTGCCTGCCTGCCCCAGTACTGCAGACCTCCACCTGTGAGCTGGGGAATACACTGTGTGCCTGGGGACAGCTGAGTCTGCTGTGACAGCGTGGCAAGGGACCAGCTAAAGGTCTTTGAGGGTGTTAAAACCCTGAAGAAAGCTGCTCCTGGAGCAAGGCTGATGTGAGCTGTTTGTAATGGATTTTGCGAGATAAGGATTACTTTGGCAACAGAAAATCCTGAGAACTGGGGCCAGGATGTTGTCCTGGCCCTGAATTCTTGACTTTGCCAGTTTACTGTTGGCTCTGCCAAAGCTCAGGTGAACTGTCTGAAATAAGATGCACGTTGGTGGGTCTCAGAACTAGGCTAGCTTTCAGAGGACAGCCTGTTAATGTCGATACCTGTGAAATGTGGGGCCAAGGTTGCCTTTGCCAAATTTGAAAGTGGAAAGTACTGGGAAGCTTTTGTAATTCTGGGCTTTCTGTTCCCAAAACAGCTGTGGTATTCAGGGTCTGCTCAAACTAAACCTGGACGTGTTCTCTGGATCGTGGGACATGTATATAATGGTGCTGCACATGCATCACAAGCTCAGTGTGTCTGTCTTAAAATACTCTTTTGTGTTTTTTTTTCCCTCTCTGCCATTTTGAACTTTTCCTTTTGAAGTAGGAGGAGACTGTCAAGAATCCCAAAATCTGGCAGTGCAAAAGAAATACGTCTGACCCATAGGCTGGGTGAAGTGCTTAATCATTATGTTAATTTTAGCCTTGATTTTTCTTGTAATTTCTGCAGACTGCTTAATTTCAGTAAAATAATAATAGTAAAAGTGGTCCTAGTTTAATAGAAGCTGTTTAATGAAGGTAAAGATGTTTAAAAGGATTTTGTGGGAATTCCCTGTATTTTGGCACCTGTTTTGCAGCTTGCAAGTCCTGCTTGTCCAGGTTCAGTCATTGAAGAACAGAGCAGCTCCACAGTTCTGATGCAAATGGCTTTGCCTTTCCCCGCTTCCTCCCTCCTGAACATTAGTATAATGGGTTGTCGTACGTTTAAACAAGAATGGGAAAAGCTGCCCCTTTGTTTAAAAGTAAAAATACTTGTTGCAGGTGACCTCATGAAACCTCCATTTGTTTTTATTCCCTGTGGTTTCTGCTGGGGCATATGTCTGCAGAGATGGACCACTGGCAGTAGAGGTCCTTTGTGAGGAAAAGCTCTCTGGGAGAGGTGTTCTGGCAGAAGTTGGATCATTTTTGTACCAGAATAACTAATGTAATTCTAAAGTGAATTCATAATTCTGGGATAAAATCACTTTTATCCCACAGTAAGGTGTCTCCAGAGAGCTATTACATTTTCTTATATACACAAACTTTTAAACTACTCTGCCGCTGATCTCCTGTTTCTTCTTCTGTTGTTTCCTCAATGAACCCTCCCCAGCATTTTCAAACGTTATCTGAAAACCCTCCCTTTCCCTTGGTTATTGTGTTGTTTCGTTTTACAAAGTGTATTACCCACTGTTAGAGAGCATTCAATGGTATAGTTTGTAAGACACTTGATACAAAAGCTAGAATTGTGGGTTTTTTAAATCCTATTGCCTTTTTTTTCCTTTCATGAGTAAGATTCTGGTAGAGTTACAAGAGCTCAAGGGAACAGGTTAAACAAGCCAATAAATAAAACGTTACAGCATGAGGTGGCTACAGCGTTCTTTTCAGTGTGTTCTTCCCTTGTGGAAAATGTTGGTGGAGCTACTGCTAACAGGTATTTAGGGTAAAATAAGGCTAAGCAGTGCCCCTTTTTTTTTTTTTTGCTGGAAGGAATATGAAACTGAGCAGTGCTTCAACGTTGCTCAACCCCAGAGACTGCAGTGAGTGCCATTTGGGCTGTGCTCACCCGCCCTTCAAAGCCTGTGAGCCTGAGAGGTTTCCAAGAAGTGCAGATGCTGCAATGATTTGTAGAGCATGGAG